GATTTATCTAGAGACATCCGCGGAGCCAGACCTGCCCGTCCTACCTCATCTTCCTGAGCTCCCACTCTTTTCTATCTTATGATCTCTCTCTCCTTTTGATACTTTATTATTGTCACTGTATTATTTTTACAGCCGGTCTGTCGGCTTTGATATTTTTATTGTACCTGCACTTTATTTATTTTATATATCTGTTTTTGTTATGGATGTCATATGATTATATTCTCATATATGTTTGTTTGCCTCCATTAAGTGCATCACAGTGACTTTAGTGAGAGAGTGCTACCTAATTTTCAGGACCACCCTTATACCTCTCTCATTTCATTTTCTGTTTATTCTATTTACACTTGCATGTTCACTGTGCACTGATTATCCCATTTTGTTATCTAATAAGTTTATATAAGTGCCACTTTTCAGGACCACAGTTTATCCCAAGTTTGGGGGGGGGGGGTGCCATGCTACCCACTTCGGATACTTCGGTCCCGATCATTCTTGCTCAGTTGCACTGGTATACTCTTTCCTTTGTTCTCTTTGCACATTGAGGACATTGTGCAATTTAAGTTTGGGGGGAATGGTGCTCTACAGTGATAATTTTAAATTCAAACTTTTAGCATGACTTGTGTATTTGAGGGATATTTCTATGATTGGTTCATATCTAGCCATGATTTTGATCTTTTGAGGACTATATTGCTTAAAATTTAAAAATTGCTTGACTTGAGAGTCCAATTCTCCTTGTATGCCTTATGAATGCCATTTAGGAGTAAATTTTTCGAAAGATTGATATCTTGTTTGCACTTATGGTCCACATCATCTTGATTTTGTGATGGTTTTGAGATTCACTCTAGTCTTCTACACTAGCACAGGCGCACACTAGCATTCATTTATGGGGTACATGCTTTGTTAATTATTGAATTGGTTATATCCCAATTGAGCTAGTAGTGCATTGAAAGTTTTCATTCTTGATAAAGGTGGATAACAACCCCTTTTCACTAAGTAGCCGGGATTCTAACCTCATTAAGCACTGAACTTCTCGCGCCGAAAGGTGGAGGGCCGAAACTCTAGGTTAATAATTGAACTTGCCTATAAAAAAATTAAAAAAAAAAAAAAGAAAAAAAAGAGTAAAAGCAAAAGTAATAAAAAGTGAGGACTTCTCCCAAAAGGTGAGAAGTGTGAAATGATTAGATGGTTGTTTTCTTGATTTGTAGCTTAGTTGATTTGAGCCTGTAAGTTCGTAGGAGTGTTTGAACACCTAGTGCCCTAAAGCCGTCTGGTTTGGGAGTCATTGACCTAATGCTCGACCTCATGAATCGCTAGAAAGCTTAATAGATCAACACATTGCACTATACTTCCATCTTTGATCATTTGAAAAAAAAAAATAATAATAATAATAATAATAATGAGTGAAAAGAATTAGTGCACCTAGAACAATAAAGCTTTAATAAAAGGTCCACTTTTTGTCTTGATGATCGGTACTAGATTTGTATGCTAGTTTGAGGGTAAGGATGTGATTAATTCTTTAGTTTGCTAAGATAGCAACACATTGATGTCGGTCCACTCAAAAGAATTCTAGAGTTGTTTTGATTTGCATGATCATTTTCTTGATGTGTGGAGGACCATACTTGCTTGCTTGATGTTAAAATTTTGAGATATTGCTTGGAAAGGGTTGAAAAATTGCATACTTGAGGTTGTTTTCTCCCAATGCTTGTTTGCAATATTGGTGCATCTTTTAAAAGAACGAGCTTAATATTTGTGGGTACCATTTCTGGAAACCCTTACGAGACTTCACTCGTCCACTAGGGGTAATCTAGGGGTTTAAAAGGCTTGTTGCATATGCTAAATGCAATCGTGTTCCCTACGAAAGTGTCGTTATCCATTTATTGCTTTTTGGTTATAGTTGTATAGTTTTTCATTTCATTCCTTTACTTTCTAGTTCATTGCTAGGGACTAGCAATATTTAAGCTTGGGGGTGTGATGAGCACTGAAAAATGCGTATTTAAACCCGCTAAGCTTAGGCATTCTAGTACCTTTATCTATCTTACTTTACCATTTTAGATTGATTTCGTATTGTTTCCATTTTCAGGCACTTATCCCGAAAATAAGCTAACTCAGCCAAATAAGAGCTTAATTGAAGCAATTCTAGGATTGAACAAAGAAATGAGCAAAGTGGAGGAAGAAAGATGCAAAAGGAAGCAAAGCAGCAAGTTCGATCGATCCAAGTCCAAGGTTCGATCGATCGAACATTGATCGATCTCAGCACTTCAAGATAGATCCAAGCCTTGACCTAAAGCACTTAAGTCCAAAAGTTTGATCGATCCAACATCATTCTTCGATCAATCGAACACCTTTGTCCTTATCCAAATGATTGATCATATCCATAACTGTACCACCCACCAACCACTTTTGTCCTTTTCCCATAAATATCTCCCATAAATATCTCGAATTTGTCTTTTTTTAAAAAGCTCAGCCAGTTGGATCGATCCAGCCTAAGTTCGATCGATCTCATTTACTTTCGATCGATCTCACTTCCTTTCAATCGATCGAACTTCCTCCAGTGCGAAAAAGTTAAAATTCCATCCCACTGAAAGTTGTCCTTTATCCAATCATTAGGGAATATTGTGTGCATGATCCCAGCTCATTTTGGGTGTCATTTTGACCTACCTATATAAGGATAAGGATTGCTTTTTCAAAAAGGAGCCAACATTATTTTTGATATCATCTCTTGGAGAGGAAGTTTAGAGGAGGAAGAGGCTAGAGACACCATTGGAGATCTTCATCAACAAGGAGCAAACCTCTTCCATGGAGTTAGCCCTTGAGGGTTGGAGCATCATCACCATGAGTAGCTAGACATCCTCTTGGGGCTAGAGTTAGCCTAAAGCATGCTTTCTATATCTTAATCTTGTGTATTATTGAGGGATTAGTGTTGTAATTGATGTTTTGACACTTTGATATATATAGATCTTGTTTATTCAATGATTTATGTGGTTTAATGCTTACAATTGGTTATTTCATTCTATCCATATGTCTATGTATGATAGAATAGATGTTCATGTGTTTATCTCTAGATTTTGTGTTATTGATGCATGTCTATGTGTATTGATGCTATAGAATTAGAGATTGTCAAAACATTGTGCTTAAAAGAATGCTTTTGTGATTCTCTTGATGGTTCATGCTTACCTCTTGATGGATTGTGCCTCCCCCCTAGTTTATTTTCATGCTAGTAGTGTAGATGTAGTGTAGTTGTAGTGTAGTGTTAAATGGGAGGACAATCTATGCTTGTTGTTTGATGATCCAAGCTTGTGAATGCAATTAGCATATGTCTCTATCCTTGTGTTGTATTTGGATTGTGAGCTTAATGAAAGGATTAGTAACTTGTTTTGATTTATTGTGCCTTTCACATATTGTTTAGACAATACATGCTTCATAACTTAGATATATTGTAACTTTCACATGATGTTTAGACAATACATGTTTAACTAGTCATTCTTACTTATTGAATCAACTAAATACATACACACCACTATTGCAACCCACTATTTGCCCTCATTAATCACTTGTCAATGATATAGAAATGCATTGCTTGGTGGTGATCTCTAAACCTCAAGATCTCTCTCTCCCTTACTTACTCTCTTTAGCATTGCATTCTTATTTAATTTATTTAGTTGCTTTCTAGTTTAAACAACCAACCAATCACTTGTTTGATCATTCGACCTACTAACCCTAGTTGCAATTCCACATTCAAGTACGACTCCAATCCCTTGGGACGATCCCTACTTGCCCTAACTATATTTTTAGTAAAGGGAGTAGTGGCTTTATAAATGTAAAACTTGGCCCTCGCTTAAATTGCACATTCTTAAGCTTATGGTAAATCGACGGCCATCACCACTAGACTAGTCCATATATGTATAAGTACACACTATAGGATGCTTACTAGTCCAATAGGTCTGTCTCAACCTGAGTAGAGATACCATGCAAATCGCACATAACGTGGTCATATGTACCTAGACCTACCAGGAAACAATAACTATTGTCCAGTTATCCATCCTAGGCGATATACGCACCTTAACCATGGTCCTAAGACTCAAGCTCATACTATGGCATCATAACATAAATATATAATATCCGTATAAGCCTAATACAAAATATCATCCATTTGGTACAGTGGCTTGATATTTGTATAACAATCCATCCAGAAACCAAAGTAGGTCATTCAAATGTTTTATTGACATAAAACCAATATGAGTAAGACTTAAACTTTATGGTTAATTCATACCTCAATCCAGATTAGGTAGGGCTTAGTATTTGAACTAATCCATCCCTAATATGCCACCATCCCATACCGGTGTATACAATCCTCCAATTAGCATAATTGATAAAACAACACTAAATAGTCATCAATCATTCTCCAAAACATGCATCAATATAGTTTAATACATATATAACGATATTAGGCATTCATTATAGAACCTAAAAATCATGTTCCATCTATTTTAATTGCTAAAATAAATCTAAGCATTTAAATCCTCCAAATCGTCCATAAATTGATACAGTTAACAGCAAATAAATATTAATTTATTCCAAACCAAGCATAGTTAATTGCAAGTAATTCACTATACTTATAACTCTGTTTAAATATGATTAAACAGTATTAAATTATATATAACAGAAGCTCCAAGTTCCAGTAAGTAATTTAATTAATCAAACAGTGTGCAACCTACAGGTTTTTTCTTAAATTCATCTTGCCCCATTCTTTAGTCCAATTATGAATTAATGTTTCCCCATAATTTTATAGGTCTATGGCAATCATATACATCATTTAAAGCAGTTTAAATGAAGTAGAAAAACCCTGTACAGTCCAAACGCAGCCTAAAAACAGTTTAATACGCAATTCTGGGCGAGAGCAGGCTCTCACAAATTGAGAGCCTGCTCCTATAACGCCCCAAATTTTTTCTAAATAAATTTATCTATTTATTCAAATCAAAATACTTCATAAAAGACACCCAGGATCTCAAAATCAATCAAATTTCCTCAAATGAATAAGACAACATCTCAAATTAATTAAATTGATACTAAATCAATTTCCTTAAATAAATACATAAAAATCTCTAGATAAAATAATTTAATTCCTCAACTCCTACTCTTCCTCCTAGCCCGCTACTATCAATCCAAGCTCATCCTCGGTACCTGAAACTGTAGAGGGGTGAGACAGTAGAAAAAACCATAACAAGGATTTCAAAGAGTTTCATGATAAATTTACTTCACAAAAATATATATATGCTTTTAAACAAAATACATATATGTAATTTTAGTAAAATAATAATCAACAAAATATTTGAAATAAAATCATCCAAGCCATTCAAGGTATGATGATCCTTACACTGTAAAATAATAATCTGGACCCTTTGTGCATCAAACAAACTCAGCCCTCTATGTGTCGCGGCTTTCTTTCTGTTCTCTAATATTTCTGTTCTATTTCCTCAAAATTCTCTCTTCTATGTTTCTTCTCCAAAGCAACAACACAGATACAATTATATAAAGGAAATTGTACCGACACAACAACAAAATATCCTACTGCTCACCTTATCTTTATCTTGTATCAGACAATAAACTAAACCACTAAAAGCAAACGCACGTGCAAAAAAATCAAAACCCAAAAGATTTTTGATCCAACAATTCAACTAGTGGGACCGTAACACAATCATCACATATTCTTTCCCACTTTCTTTCTAATTTCGTCCAGGTGCACTCATTTTCTTCTTATCACCATACAATATATATTTATATATAAAACAAAATCAACACTTTAACATTATTTAAGTGGGACCCGCCACTTTATAAATCAAAATTTTCAATTTTTCTAAATATCAATTAACAAATAATAAAATCAGCATGTGCATAAAAGAAGGTCAAAAGAACTTTACCAACAATCAATTAGTGGGCCCGCCACCAAAATCACATTTATCTCTTCCATTTCTATCTTCAATTCGCAGCCCACCTTTCCATCACACAATCACATTGATACATATAATATATATACAAATGAAACCAAATTTAATCTCTTTAAATTTCATTCATTGTGGGACCCCCCAATTCCAATTTTTCATTCTTCTTATCTCATTTCAGCACGTAAGAGATATATATATAAATATAAATGCAATAACCAATTTCAAACTCCTTAGACATTCATTTTTCGTGGGTCCCGCTAAAGCAATCAAAATTCATTTCTTTCCTTCTTCCAAATACACTTTCGGCTGCCTACTTGCTCCTCTTCCATCACATGATAATATGGATATATATATATATATATATATATATATATATATATATATATACAAAGCATATAACCAAAGTTCAACCCACTAAAAAAATCTTAATTGGGTAAACCTCCAATTCAATAATCAATAATCAATAATCCAACCTCCAATTGGTAAATCTCCGATTAAAATAAAATAATCAATTTTATTGACAACTAAAAATCAAGAGTATAAAATTTAAAATTAAACTCTAAAAATTCGGGTTGTCACAGCTCCATTAACATGGGAGCTGGCTCTGTGGAGCTAGGAGCTGGCTCCACACTCCTTGGAGCTGGTTCCATTAATAAGGGAGCTAGCTCCCTCTTTTTGGGAGCCTGCTCTTTCACTCCCTGAAGCCGTTCAGCGTTTCTACTTCATCTTCCTTACATCCGGCGATTCCCAGGGCCTCTGTAATATTTTAAACACTTGTTCTAGTGTTCATTTAGTGTCCCAGATTACTTATATGACATCAACATGCATCAACAATCTCCATTAAACAAAGCTTAAAATCAAATACAGCAGGATATAATTAAAAGCTTTAAGAATTTTCAGATTAGTTAAATTCAGTGAAGCTAAATATAGTTTAAACATGCATCACGAGTATGTTTTAGCATTAATTAAACCCCTGGAGTCTACCTAGGCATCACAGAACACAGGTTTAAGGGAAGGAGTTAGAATAGAGACTTACCTCTGATTTTAGTTTAGAAATCTTAAACCGTCTTCTCTGTCAACTCCGGCGACCTTAATTGCTTTTATTGACCATTGTTGCTCCCAATTCAACCCACGAGCATGCGTTAATTACTCCTCCTTGGTTTTGCCCTTAACCCTAACCAAACCCTAACTTTTCTCTCTCTGTTCTCTCTCAAGCCTCTCTGTTATTGCTCTCTGCATACGTGAATAGGGTTAACAAACCTTAGCAGACGTATAAAGGTATATATATAGGCTTATACAAATACCAACCCCAATTCTAATTATATTGAGAGAAGAAAAAGAAAACTAAACTATTTACAGAACCAAGTTGGCTACGTTCGTGAAGAAAATAAAACCCTAAAACTATTAAAATATTAATTCACTAATCCACATAAGCATATAACAAGGAAAACTAATAATTAAAACAAACAATTTAATTAAATAAAAATAATCAAATTAAAACAATTAAACAAATAAGTTAAATAAAAACAATTAAATTAAAATAATTAAACAAACATGAAAATAAACACATAATCAATTAAAAATACAATTAAACAATTAAAAAAATAAACAAATAAAAACCTAATCAATTAAAAATGCAATTAAACAATTAATTAAAATACTAGGACTATCCTTTTAAAATTAGGGGTATTACACCTATTATGTCACTAGACCACTTTAATGTATAAAGATTAAATCTTCGAAAGAAAATGAGAGTTTTGAGTTTAACTTATTCAAGTTACCTATAAAGTCGCGAAGAGTGTTTTAATGACTAAAGACTAAATGTTTAAATGAAAACACCTCAATATAGGTACCTATTATGTCACTACACCTTTTCAATTTATAAAGATTGAATCTTTGAAAGAAAATGACAGTTTCGAGTTTAATTTATTCGAGTTATTTATGAAGTTGTGAAGAGTGTTTTAATGACTTTAGATTGAATCTTTGAATGAAAATACCTCAATAAAGGTACCAATTATGTAAGTAGACCTTCTTAATGTATAAAGATTGAATATCTGAAAGAAAATGAGAGTTTTGAGTTAAAATTATTCGAGTTCCTTTTAACATTTCGAAGATCGTTTTAAAGAGTAAAGGTTAAATCTTTGAATGAAAATAACTCAATCAAGGTGCCTACTATGTCACTAGACCATTTTAATGCATAAAGATTAAATCTTTGAAAGAAAATGAGAGTTTTGAGTTAAACTTATTCAAGATCCCTTTGACATCGCGAAGAGTTTTTTAATGAGTAAAGATTGAATCATTGAATGAAATTGCCTCAATCATGGTATCTTTATGTCACTAGACCTTTTTAATATATAAATATAGAATCTTTAAAAGAAAATGAGAATTTTGAGTTTAACTTATTCGAGTTACCTATGAAGTTGCGAAGAGTGTTTTAATTACTAAAGTTGAATCTTTGGATGAGAATACCTCAATAAAGGGACCTATTATGTCACTATACCTTTTTAATGTATAAAGATTGAATCTTTGAAAAAAAATGAGAGTTTTGAGTTAAACTTATTCGACTTCCCTTTAACATCCCGAAGAGTGTTTTAATAAGTAAAGATTGAATCTTTGAATGAAAATACCTCCATCAAGGTACCTATAATGTCACTAGACCATTTTAATATATAAAGATTATATCATTGAAAAAAAATGAGAGTTTTGAGTTAAACTTATTCGATTTCCCTTTGATGTCACGAAGAGTGTTTTAATGAGTAAAGATTGAATCTTTCAAAGAAATTAGCTCAATCAAGGTTCCTATTTTATCACTAGACCTTTTTAATGTATAAAGATTCAATCTTCGAAAGAAAATAAGAGTTTTGAGTTTAACTTAATCGAGTTACCTATGAAGTTGCAAAGAGTGGTTTAATGACTCAAAATTGAATATTTGACTGAAAATACCTCAATAAAGGTACCCATTATGTCACTAGACCTTTTTAATGTATAAAAATTGAATCTTTGAAAGAAAATGATAATTTAGAGTTAAACTTATTTGAGATCCCTTTGACGTCACGATGAGTGTTTTAATGAGTTAAGATTGAATCTTTGAATAAAATAAGCTCAATCAAAGTGCCTATTATACCACTAGACCTTTTTAATGTATAAAGATAGCATCTTTGAAAGAAAATGAGAGTTTTGAGTTTCAACTTATTCGAGGTACGAAAGAAGTCGCGAAGAGTATTTTAATGACTAAAGATTGAATCTTTGAATGAAAGTACCTCAATAAAGGTACCTATTATGTCACTAAACCTTTTTAATGTATAAATATTGAATCTTCGAAAAAAAATGAGCGTTTTAAGTTAAACTTATTCGAATTTCCTTTGACGTTCCGAATAGTGTTTTAGTGAATAAATATTGAATCTTTGAATGAAAAAACCTCAGTCAAGGTATCTGTTATATCACTAGAACATTTGAATGTATAAAGATTAAATCTTTGAAAGAAAATGAGAGTTTTGAGTTAAACTTATTCGGGATCCCTTTGACGTCGCGAAAAGTATTTTAATGGCTAAAGATTGAATCTTTGAATGATATTACCAAAACCAAGGTACCTATTATGTCATTAGATCTTTTTAATGTATAACGACTGAATCTTTGAAAAAAAATGAGAGTTTTAAATTTAACTTATTCGAGTAACCAATGAAGTCGCGAAGAGTGTTTTAATGACTAAAGATTGAATCTTTGGATGAAAATACCTTAATAAAGGTACCTATTATGCCACTAGACCTTTTTAATGTATATAGATTAAATCTTAGAAAGAAAATGAGAGTTTTAAGTTAAATTTATTCGAGTTCCCTTTGACATCCCGAAAAGTATTTTAATGACTAAAGATTGAATATTTGAATGAAAATACCTCAATTTAGGTACCTATTATATCACTAGACCCATTTTAATTTATAAAAATTAAATCTTTGAATGACAATGAGTGTTTTGTGTTAAACTTATTTGAAATCCCTTTGACATCGCGAAGAGTATTTTAATGAGTAAAGATTGAATCTGTTAATGAAATTACCGCAATCATGGTACCTATTATGTCACTAGACCATTTTTAATGTATAAAGATTGAATCTTTGAAAGAAGATGAAAGTTTTGAGTTTAACTTATTCGAGTTACCTATGAAGTCGTGAATAGTGTTTTAATTATTGAAGTTGAATCTTTGAATGAAAATACCTCAATAAAGGAACCTGTTATGTCTCTAAACCTTTTTGGTGTATAAAGATTGAATCTTTGAAAGAAAATGAGAGTTTTGAGTTAAACTTATTCGAGTTCCTTTTAACGTCCCCGAAAAGTGTTTTAATGAGTAAACATTGAATCCTTGAATGAAAATACCTCCATCAAGATACCTATTATGTAACTATTCCATTTTAATGTATAAAGATTATATCACTGAAAAAAAATGAGAGTTTTGAGTTAAACTTATTTGAGATCCATTTGACGTAACAAAGAGTGTTTTAATGAGTAAAGGTTGAATCTTTAAATGAAATTAGCTTAGTCATGGTTCCTATTTTGTCACTAGACCTTTTTAATATAAAAAGATTCAATCTTCGAAAGAAAATAAGAGTTTTGAGTTGAACTTAATCAAGTTACCTATGAAGT